CGCAGAGGTGGTTACAGGAAAACTTCCAGAAATCCAATCTACTTCCCTCACCTAACCCTAAGGTGACCTTCTTGGGATATGTGCGAATACGGTGGAGGGAAAGACAAAGATTCAGAAGATTTGTTCTCCAGCCGAGTGATCCAGTCTCCATAAGATTTATGATGTCCGTTGTGGTGCTCATGACTTCTGCCGGCCGTCATGCGGACACGGTTTCATCAGAGGCCAGTTTAGACTTGGCAGTCCTGCTTCCCTCTTCTGTGGTGGTGGAGAGATCAAAGACACCTGACAACAGGCTTGCCTTGGTCCATCCAGTCTTCCATAAAGGTAACGACGGACGCAAGCTCTTGGGGTTGGGGTGCCCATATGGAGAGTTTGGTAGCCAATGGTCAGTAGTCCCAAAGGGAATCAAACTGGAGGGAATTGAGGGCGGTACTGAATGTTTTCAGGAGAGGCTCCAAGGCCACCATCTTAGTATTGTCAGACCATGCAACAGCAGTTATCTACCTCGGCTAGCTCGGGGGTACTACGAGTCCTCTTCTGCAAAGTTTGGCCTCCTTGACTGCTGTCCATGTAAAGGGAACTCAAAGTTTGCGGACAGATCATTCTAGTCGTCATCCGCTTCTCCGTTACTCTTAAACCGTTTTTTTAGTTGCCGTTACTTCCGCGAGCTGCAAACCTTCTCTAACGGATTCGGCCTTCCGGCCTAAGATCTCCTCCAGTTTTCATAGATCGCAGGAGATTGTTCGACCTACTTTCTGTACCAATCCCTCTAATGAAAGAACCAACAACAGTCTCTTCATTGCCGGGGTGATTGGCGTTGCCGATTGCAGTACCTTCGGGTCTCTAAGGAATTTCCTGAATCAGATGCCTTTGTCCCCCGGAAAGTCTAAATCCTCTCTGACTGAGACATCTGACTAGTCTATTGGGGAAGCTTATGGTGCTATGAAGGTCCCTTCTCCATCCCTTCATTGGCTGAGAGCTGGTGCTAGGCCACAACAGATCGGTAAAGCCACATGCTCAAGCTTTTCTACATTCATTGGACACTTGGACCTGATTTCTTCTGGAGACCAAGCCTTTGGTCAAAAAGTTCTTCAAGCTGAAGTCCCACCCTAGATTGGTCAATTCTCCTATGCTGTCCTGGAAGATGCGTAAGGGAGTAATCAGAGTAAGACGTACCGGTAACTCTTTGCAGTAATCTTCCAGGACAGCGGGATTCCCAAGTGCTGAATTTTCTTGCAGTCTTGTTTTTCCTTCGGTTCTGTGTTGACTGAAGGGCTGAATGAGACGAGGTTCTGTTATATTGAATCATGTGACCCGTTTCCTGCTGAGAGGGAGGAGCCTCCATCTCTCTCATGCTGTCCTGGAAGACTGCTGGAAAGACTTACCAGTAAGACTAAGCCCTCGCTCACACCTGAACGCTTTGTAGCGGGTTCTACGCACGGCGAACGCTCTACAAAACGCTCAGACATCTAAATCCCGTTGTATTCAATGGTCTGGTTCCCACCTCGGCGCCCCCCCCCCCCCCCCC